GATCTATTATTTGCTGGATTTCCATAATCTGAATAGAACTGATGGTTGTATCAATCCCTGGATTGAGAAGAAACAGAGAAAAGAAAATAAACTCTTCTGCAGGGGGAAAGAGCACTGTGCTCCGGCATGGTGACCAAATTGCAGAATGTACAGTAAGAGTTTCCTCAACAAATGGATTCCAATTGCACTCAAATGGAGAAGGAAGGGGGGGAGAAGGCTTTGTCGCTGATGTTGTTATAGCAAATTTTAAGAAACCTAAAAAAAGAAACACAAAACAAAACAAAACAAAAAATAGGCTCCAATAGACAGCCTCATAGCATCCAAAAGGATTTCTGGACCACGCAAGTCCTACTCAAATGAAATGTATTGAAAATAGAGAGGACAACATGAAATACAATCTGGCCAAAAGAGAAAGCTTTACAAAATTAGAAAACAGAACGCAAACTAAAAACACAGTCAGAAGAATAGAAGAAGAGGGAAGAAGTTCAAATAAATTATTAAAATCTATGGAGATCCACCACAACTTGTCTAGGAATGAGCGACCGTTTTTAATGCCTCCTTAGTGGTGAGGCTGACTGTGATTATAAAAACGAAACCCTTGGGGTTTTGTGCCAAGGCTCAGCCTTTGTCCCCGTTCCTCACTCCAGTAATGCTTTTACAGCTTGTTGTTACTCTGCCTGGCTCCACAAATCAAAGAATAGAATCACTTAAACTTAAACTTACAGTCACTCCCCCAGTCAGGGTTGGTGAGTGCCTCTCCTGCCAAGAATGATGTGCTTCTGTCATCTGAAAAGAAAAAAAGTCTGTCTGTCTTTAAGGCTTGTTCAGGATGAGAAGAAACCCAGTGTGTGCCTTGGTTTGTCTCTGTCAGTAGACTGTTTCCCCACTCTTTCTGTCTCCCACCTTTCAACCCATCACATCCCTACCCTGTTTCTTAGAGTAGATAGATGCTCACCCTTCTCCAAGAAGCCATCTGCTTTGTGTCCCCCAAATTCTCATGTATGAAATCCTAACCCCTTAGAACATCAGAATGTGACTAAATTTAAAGGTAGGGCCTTTAAAAATGGAACTAAGTTAAATGAGGCTGTCAGGGTGAGCCCTAATCCAATTTGGTGGGTATTCTGATAAGAAGAGGAGATTAGAACACAAAAAGAGGCGTGTGTGCATAGAGGAAAGACCTTGTAAAGACACAATGAGAAGGTGGCCATCTGCCTGAGTCGAGGAGAGAGGCCTGAGAAGAAACCAGACCTGCTAACACCTTGATCTTGCGCTGCTAGCCTCCAGAACTGTGAGAGACTATATTTCTGTTGTTTAAGTCACCTGGTCATGGTATTTTGTTATAACAGTCCTAGCATATTAAGACACCATCCCAGATTAGATCCAAGCAGCTCATAGCTCCCTCCTTTCCAATGCCATAGCATTTATTACTAAATCTTCGATGTGGTGATCAATCAGTGATACATCTATCGCCAAACCAAATTTAACTTTTCGTGTATTTTTGCCTTTTCTCCACAATTCCAGAATTAGGGGACCTCTATTAGCGTTCTTTGAATTCTCCATAACTCCCAGCATCACGTGATCCCCACAGGAAAAACTGAGCTTGAGGTAAGGACTGAGCTGCAATGAGCTGAAAAGAGGAATCAGATCACTAGTGTGGGGCCACAGCTTGCTTGTGGAAAAGGAAGCTGGAGCAGTGGTGATGACCATCATAGCCAGATAAGGCATTTTGTTTCTTTTTAATGCTGTACACATTTATTACAGAGACCTGAGATGGCACAATAAGTTGAAAATGAGAAGTAAAAATGATCTATAATCTTATAACATTAATTCTAATCACTGTCAAATTCCTTCCACTCCCCACCTCCCAACTTTCACTCTATACATACTCATATAGAGACCTGGGAGAACCCCTGACTTTGTGTTTTAAACTTAATAATAATTATATTATAAGCATATTGTCAGGACAAAAAATAATTTTGAAAACATGATTTTTAAAAATGACTGATATACCATTATGGTTAGAACTTTAGATTTTTTTCCATATAATAAATAATGCTGTAATAACATATCTTTTTGGTGTCTCTAATTATTTTCTTTTTAAAAATTATTCATTTGTTTTTTTCAATTACAGTTGACATTCAATATTATTTTATATTAGTTTCAGGTGTATGCATAGCGGCTAGACATGAAAAGGTAACTATTCAGATGATGGCTGTTAAGGCTGTGAAATAAAATATGTATTTTTTTTAATTGGGGAATTGGGGGTATGGGAACAGCACTGGGGAATTGGGGGAAGGGGAACAGACAAGTTGCTGTCGTTTTGGTCTTCAGTCTAGTTGTGGAGGATGTTGCTTCACTGGCCCAAGTTGGCACCATCATTGAGCTCTTCCCAGGCAAAGCAGATCAGTCCCCGGCCTCTGGACNTATGAAGCCTGAGTGAAACAGAAAAAGAGACAGAGCAAGAGGAAAAATGATGGAGGAGGAATAACAGAGCTAGAAAGCAGAGAGGACAGAGGAAAGGGAAAGAGGGAGAAAAGGAAGGGGGAAAGAGAGGAAATGTGGAGGGAGGAGAAAAGGAGAGAGTAAAATCAAGAGACAAAATGAAAACCATCTGTCTTCATGGTGAGTAGTAACGTGTATATTTTTTGAGTGAAGTGGGTCAAAAGTCTTGAAGTACCATAATTATTTAAAATTGATAAGAAAAGATTAGGGTTTGTGATTTTGGAGGAAAGGCTGTCATAATAAAAGCTACCATTTACCGAGTGCCTACTCCTTCCCAGGAAGAGGCAATGTTCTTGGTGTCTCATCTCATTGGGAAGGCAGAAAAATGTGGTCAAAAGGACGGGCTGAGTGTGAAGCCCAGCTTCACTGCTTACTAGCTCTGAGCTTCATGATAGGTGTTTTAATCTCTTTAAACCTCAGTGAGGTTTAAAAGTGACCTTATCTGAACAACATAAACTAGAAAAAAAAAATACCAACCTCAGACCCAGTACTAAAGCGTAGAGTGTCTGGCATATAGTCTGTGCTCAGTAAATGGTAGTCATTAATTTCATTATTATTAACAGTGATTCCCACAGCAGCTCTACTTGTTATGGTATAACATCAAACTCATTTCATACATGAATAAACAGTAGCTCAGACAGGATAAGTGGTTTCTCCAAGATTACAGATCTAGTAAGTGACAGAGATAAAATTTGAACCCTGGTCTGCTCACCTCCGAATTCCCATTCTTTTTTTTTTTTTTTAACTCTCTTGGGGGAAGGAGGTGGTGTCTGCATTAGTATTCCTACCAGGAGCTCTCAAAAATGTGCAGTCCCCCCATCCAGGGGACATGCTATTACTCTTGTTCCCACCCCAATTCAAAGGGACACAGCCAGGGGCCGTCTACAGCTTGTGAGCATAAAACCCAAGGTCACTTCCACTTTTTAGGTGTGAGTGTACAGCTTAGAGCCTTTCCATTCCACTGGTGAGAGCCTGGGAGAGCCCAGCCCTCGTTTTGAAAGCCCCCTCCTCAAGCTGGCCCACATCTCAACCCAATCATCATTAATTAGTTAACATGGACTGACACATTTCCACCTCTTTTTTTAAATTTTTATCTGAGCCATCCTGCAACTTGTTGGCAGCTCAGTGGCAACTCAGCTTGGGTTGGGACTCGAACTGCTGTTACTCAGAGCTCGCACTCTTGAGTGAGCTCTTAACCAACTGAGCCACTCTGCCGGCCCACCACCTCTTAACTTACTGATAAAAAAAAACAACAAACTGGAGTAAATTCAGATTGGTTATTCAAATAATGATAAAAAATAGATTTTTTTTTTTACAACTATGCACTTACTTGATTTCCAGAGAGAATTTGACATTGGTGGGTGTGTGTTTATTAACAGGAATATTGTAATTGTAATTTCCAGACCTAATTGTGAAGAAAAAAAAAACCCCCACAAATCAAAATAGGCAGGAAAGGTATCAAAAGGCTTTTTGCTACTCCTTATATACTATGTAAACTGTAAAATAGACTATAATAAATAATAAATACACATAATCAAGTTTAACATGATATAGTTTTATGTTTTTCAGAGACACGCCTGTCAAATTTCAAAGTGATCTCTTTCGGGTCTTAATATATAAAATATACCACAAAGATTTATAGTTTGCTAGAGCACACAAACAAAATGATGGAAAGTCCAATCCCAGGCCCAATGGACGAAACTAAACACACAGGAAATGACTTCAGTTCCCCTAAGGAGATACAGATTTCAGAAGACAATGAGGCAAAGGCCTCAAGCTAACAATCCCTCTGGAAAGGAGGATTGGCAATAATAAATACCAGCTTTCCTACCGTAAATCACTCCCTTTTAGGAAACATTAGCAGGAAATATTATGCCCTTTCAGAACTTGAACCAGCTAACATTATTATAGTCCTAATTACCACTTAGTAATGGAGAACACACTATAAGACAGAAATGTTTCTACAAAGATTCCTTCCCCCCTTCCCTTTAAGAGACCTACTTGGGGGAAAGCGGGAGCTCCTTTGATTCACATTGTCATGAAAACTCCAGCAAAAAGGTATATCATATTTAAGTTGTTATGACCTGGCCATCCTTTAAATTATATGTAGAAACAACTTAAAACCAGAAACATGGGAAAAATATCGAGTCATTTTAGAGTCTCTTTAGTGAATACTAAAGTAAGTTGTTAAAAATGAGACAGCAAAAATAAAGGAAATAAATCTGCATGGGCATCGACTGGAGGAAGCTTAGATAAATACAATTCATTTCCTATTCTGTGCTTCCCAACATCTGTACGCTTCATGGCAACCCAGCTCAGTAGATAGCATCCCCACCTTCCAGATGAGAAAGGAATATACAGGGAGAATAGACATCTTGTCAACGTTCTGGAATTTAAACCGGAATCACCTCACTCTTCTCATTATATCACCCTACCACATTAATTAATGTCTGTCTCTGACTTTTTCAAGGTTACTTAGGTTACTTAGATTACAAGGTTACTAAGGAACCTCAGGTTCCTTAACGACAAAATGGGGATTTAAAAAAAAAAAAACAAAAAAAACCAATCTAGGGATTTTGTGAGAATTCGATAAGATGATAAATGTAGAGGTCATAAACACATAATAAAGCAACATACAGTTTATTTTTAAAACTCAGGACCATCAACTGGAAGCCTAAGTTATATCAGGTCAAAAAAAAAGGCTAAGAATCCATAGGATTTGTGACACGAATTCAAAACAATAGGGCCTTGCCTTTACCCTGGCAGGCACCCAATCCATATTTAGCAAAGAAAGAAAAATAACTCCCTATTCTTAATGGCTACAACTTGCATATTGTGCTTGCTGAAGCTACTTGCACACTATGCTCCTAGATGCATCATTACCCCATACAGGTGATACAACATACACTAGAGATGAATGTTGCTGAGAACTTGCAGTACCTGAATTTTTCTCTCCTAGCTGAAAATACTAAAATAAGCTATATTTTTTCCAGCAATTAAACTAATGATATCCCTTGTTATTTAAATATACAAATGTCAGCTTACTCATAACTTCAAGCCATCAGTAACAATGTCTTTCTTGTCTATAAAATTAACAAGCAGCTTTGCGCCTTTGGTTTGTGCCCCCAGAGCGTCAGCCACAGAGCTGCCCCTGAGCTTTTGGCTTTGGATGAACCCATTAAACCAGGAGGCTGGGATCATTGGAGCCGCGGTTTATTGACATTTGCTAATACCAACCATTTTATGATTCCCTCTTCCCCCCTGTAACAAATGTGTTTTCACTTAAGGAGCAATGGAAGCACACATTGATTTTAACCATGTAGCTTTAGCTTTGAGTCCAGTCTCAAAAACCCAGAGCCTGAGTAAATTCCAGAAACAATCCAGAGATGGTGAGGAGGCTTACCCACCCGCACTGGAGGCTTCTACTGCAATACCGACGATCTATTATTTGCTGGATTTCCATAATCTGAATAGAACTGATGGTTGTATCAATCCCTGGATTGAGAAGAAACAGAGAAAAGAAAATAAACTCT